GAGAGAGAGAGAGACACACACGCGCGCGCGCACAGAGAGAGAGAGAGAGAGAGAGAGAGAGAGAGAGATACACACACGCGCGCGCGCACAGAGAGAGAGAGAGAGAGAGAGAGAGAGAGAGAGATACACACACGCGCGCGCGCACAGAGAGAGAGAGAGAGAGAGAGAGAGAGAGAGAGATACACACACGCGCGCGCGCGCACACACACACACACTCACTCACGCGCACGCACAAACGTACGCACACACGCACGCACGCACGCACGCACGCACGCACACACACATCCAATGGCAAACGTCAGGCGGGTTGACTGTGCTTTGCTCCCACCTTCTCGTAGAACCCTAGAGATGAAGGTACGACGAACACAGTATGTTACCGCGTTGTGGACACGTGCCTGGACAGCATCTCCTGGAGACGGTTTATCACCAACCGATTATGGGTGGTCTCTGAAGGACAACCTATTGAAGCCAACATGGTTCGAAGGTCCCACCGTACCAGAGAGCTTATTTAAAAATGTCAATAACAACCCAAAGGACATGGACGTTGAAGGTGACAGAACATATTCCGAGTTGGAAGTACTGAGTGATTCAGATGTTGAAGCATGGAGTGATGAACTCTGATGTGGAGGTGGAAGACGGGGAATTCTTGTAGGAAACAACAAATTTTATAGAATGCTACGATCCAAAGTTTGGTCTATATACAGCTCTAATATTGGCATGGTTGAGAACTTTTAATTAGACAACTTGTACTTTCACTTTTTCTGGGGGTCTGCAAGGGGTAAAGTTCAGAAATCAAATATGATAAATGACATAAAACATGATGGTTTGAACTAAATTTGATAGTTGATTATTAAAATGGATTTTGATATACTTGAGTACTGAATGTAAATGAATAATAAAAAATGTTTAATTACTGGATTGCTAAATTGGGAGGCAATAATGTGATTTGGAATTGTAAATTTATGCCATATGATGTTTTATTTTATATAAATAAAATACCTTTGTGTCAATACCTTGTGATGATGACCTTGTGAGTAATATTTTTATTTTTATTTATTTGCCGTATGGCTTTATGAGAGAAACTATTCAGGTAATTTTTCTTGTCCGCATGATTTTGAAGACACTTCTTCTTTTTCTTCCTTTGCATTATTAGTCCCACTGAAGTGGGGTCGCTGCAGTGGACTATACTGTAACAGTATATATAACAACTATATATACACTGTATATGAGAAATGAAAGTGTTGAGAAGAAGTGCTGAATATAAGGGAATAATGTTGTTTCATCAAATCAATGTGTTGTACATTCGAGATTTGTTGAAAGATTCTATTCTGCAAATTAACAACATGAAAAGAAAAGGTAGAGAAGCAAAGCTGACCGATGGATCAGTGGTTTCCTATCCAGCTAATCAGAAGTAGATAATAGACTATTATCTACTTCTGAGCTAATCTATCTAAATAATGAAGGCCCGGGTGGGGGCAGTTAGGGGCGTCTGGTGGGCACACCAACCACTGAATTATTCTGGCAGTGGCCATTCACGATACCTGCGACTAAGCCGAACATTTCCCAGTGGGTTACAAAAGGTTTTCTTTCAGGCTAATCTAGTTAAATTTTGGGGGTGGGGGCAGTTGGGGGCGTCTGGTGGATACACCCACCACTGAATTATTCTGGCAGTGGCCATTCACGATACCTGGGACTATGCTGAACATTTTTCAATGGGTGCCAGAAGGTTTCCTTTCCAGCTAATCTAGCTCAATTTTGGGGTAACGGTTTTTTAGCTCTGGCGCATGCGCCCACCACTAAAAATTCTGGCAGTGTCCATTCCTGATACCTGGGACCATGCCGAACATTTTCCAATAGGTTTCATGGGGTTTCCTCTCCAGCTAATCTGAAGTAGATAATAGACTATTATCTACTTCTGAGCTAATCTATCTAAATAATGAAGGC